TCGATGAGATTGTCCAAAAAGGTTAGTGGCAATTCATTAAAGTCTTTTGTGCAAGTGATGTGGTTATTGTAATGACGCGGAAGATCATATTTCCATTATTTTTTTTGTAAAATTGGTGTTTTATCCCTCTTGATAGTTGTCCAAAGTCAATTCAGATCAGTCGGTGAAATTAGTTTGTTATATTTTAACTGTTAAATAAATACGATTATTTAATTGACAGGTAATTTTTAGATAATTAATTTAATTTATAGTTAATGAATCAAATCCAATATTTATTAAATATCCGGTTTCTTTTGGCCCTCTACAAAATGAACTAAAATTTAGATAATTAATTTAATTTATAGTTGAGTATTGACTCTTTCGGATCCTAACAAAACAATATATAATGTCATGATGGCCTCTTGTTGTTGTGGCGGCATTCAATATTATAATATTCTTTATGGCATTATGATGTGCCAATTAGCAAGCTAAACTAATAGAAGGGTGGGGTGCATAATTCCTACGCAAATTGTTATAGTTTCTGTTTTTAGCTTCAGTTTTGGAATATACCTTATGAATATTGTGTTGTAACTTCAATTGTTTTAATATATATTAAGTGCATATAGTTAAATATTAGGTGTATTGTATTATATGAATATCATTATTATTATGTCTATTGGAGGGATAAAGACTTAACCCTGGGCTTGAATTTTAGAAAATATGAGACTTAACATGTTAATTGATATCAAAATTTGGAACTTGATTATAAATTTGGGGTGAGTTTTTAGGTCGAGGCCAGACACATAGTAATATCGATGTTATTAGTTTCAAAATCTAATTGTGGTTATTTATTTGAATAGATTAAATTGATTTGGAAGCCCAACGAAAGGGGAAGACTCATGTCTCAGAGTGAATTGTTGATTAATTGAGGCAAGTCGATTTCTCGACCCTTTTTAAGTGTATAGTATCATGTATTTTCTTGTGGTATATATTGGGGATAAATAGGACTTGGTGATGGATAGACTTGTCCATATTGAATAATTATAATGATGACAAAGGAGTAATAAAAGACAATGTGATTAATTATTGGTGTGTAATGTGTTAAGAATGGTTTGAAAGGCTTATTGATTCGTTGTTGATGTTTATCATGATTTTGTTATGAATTGTGCATTGTTATGGAAATGACCATCTCCTCATTAATTGTGTGAACATGTCATTTGCATTGATTATGAGACATGGTTGTGACAAGTTTTATGTGAGTTGAGCAAGAATAAGAAATTGAAGAGGATGTACTATTTTGAGGGACGTGTCACACGTCGGATGAATATTACAATTCAAGGGACGTGTTGCAAACTGCGATGAATTCTATTATCAAGAGATGTGTCGTACGCCGCAACGGATGCATGGAATGATAAGTCCCTCATCGGTCCTGGATATAGAAACATCGGATGTGTCTAACTAGGTCAGACAACATCACCATACTTGGTATTGCATTTAATTGCATTGCATATCTTTATCATTTTGTGAACTTGTGAGTGCCTTTCAGTGGAACTTGTGATTGGTGAACTTGATCATGTGTGTTACTAATCTGTAATCTTGGAGGGTTGTTATTGAGCTATGTGTTGTTTAAATTATGAAGTGTTAGGTTGAGTTGATTTTATGCAGGTTGTAGTTGTGGAGGTTCGGTTTGGTTGGTAGGAGTACCCATATTATATATTCTTAACTTGTGTTATGGAGCTCGCTTGATGAGTACCGTGTTGTTTGGTACTCATCGCTTGATCCTACATTTGTGTAGGTTATGAGCTTGGATCTTCGTGATTACTGTCTCTTCTCTTCTTGTCCGAGGCTTCCTATGGCGATTTGTGAGGTAGCTATTTGTCATCTTAGCAGACCCTCCTGCTCCTTATTTATGATCTTGTTCTATTCTAGAGATAATATCATTTGAGACTTGTATTTTTCTTTCAAATCAATTGTAATTACTTTAGAGGCTTGTACACGTGAAAACTGGATTTAGGGTTTTATTTGAGTTGATCCCATATTATTAGACGGTGTTAGTCTATTTTTCTTGTTTTACTTTTGCATTTATTGTATTAGTTGAGTTAGGCTGACTTATCTTGGTGGAATAAGATGAGTGTCATCCCATCCATTTTTGGATTGAGTCCATGCATAAGTATTAGTTTGAAACCATCTTTCAAAGCATATAAATCAAGGTGAGTCAACATAAGAAACCTTTCTTAATCATTTACATAAAATATCATACTTTTAATGAACTATATTGTAACACCTCGGGAATTAGGACTTGGAATGGATAGGAAAAAGTTACAGAATGTTATCATAAAGTTTGAATGGTTAATTCCTTATAGTCAACTAGTTGAACTTTAAATATATGTTTTCAACTTTTAGTTCTTCTCTTATCTTGCCCAAAACCATTCTTCGTTTTCATAGGAGAAATTAAAGGCTCTCGATTTTACACATAGGGTGTGTTTGGTATGAAGGAAAACATTTTCCGGAAAATGTTTTCCAATTTTCTCATGTTTGGTTGGGTTAAATGTTTTGGAAAATGTTTTCCAAATCAACTCATTTTCCTCAAATTTAAGGAAAATGACTTCCCTTCAAAACTTAAGGAAAACATTTTCCAAAACTCTCTTCCAACTTCCAATTAAAAAAAAAAATTTAAGTTAGTTTTTAAAAAATATTTTCGACTTCAAAATTTCATTTTTTTAGCCCTACACTCGACCCCCCCCCCCCACCCCCTACCAGTCCCCCACCCCCAAAAAAAAATTTAAGGCATTTTTTTTTAAAAAAAAAAAATTTAACTTCAAAATTTCAATTTTTCACCCCTACCCTCGACCCCCCCCCACCCCCTACCAGCCCCCACCCCAAAAAAAATTTAAGTTTGTTTTAAAAAAATATTTTCAATTTCAAAAATTATTTTCTACTCTAGTATAAATAAAAGAAATTTTTCAAAAACATTTTTCATTCATAAATCAAACACAAAAAATCTTTTCCAAAAAATATTTTCTACTCACCAACCAAACATGAGAAAATAAGTCAAAAATCAACTTGTTTTCCAAGAAAACATTTTCTAGGAAAACATTTTCCTTCATACCAAACACACCCATAAAGTTAGTTGCTTATTCTTTTTTTATCTCGATTTTTCTTAGTCCTTCAAGTGAGTACGTATAGAGCTAATTGTTCTCTTTGTCTTATTTTCTTTTAGTATGTCTAGTATTTTTTTTTATTGATAGGAAAGACTTATCCTATCTTTTCATAATTCAATTATACAAAATTAAAGATTCAAAAGACAGGTCCACTCAAAATTTTAAATTACATGAGTTATCCTATACAAGATCTGCTCTTGAATTTTAAGAGAAAAAGAGGCCCGCTTCCATTCTCCATAAAAACTCAAGTACATGTAGTAAGTATCATTGTTGAACGAAAAAAGAAGTTATTCACATTGTTTCGTGCATGTGAACAAACAAGTTATGTACTTTCACTTTAATCTATACTAGAATTCATAAAATGATGTTGACTTCAATTTTCAAACAAATTCCCTAGATTTCATACTTTTTTCATCCAATGATTAATTAATGCATCCGACAATCATTTCATGAATTTTACATACTTTAGAGAGTAAATAAAAGTGTGCAATTCATTGATTCACATGCACAAAACAATGTAAATCAAAACAATGATAAGCTTAAGGTGTTGATACAAGAGAAGCAACTTAAATCAATTAATATCTTTTATTTGATCAAGTCGATGAGATTGGACCAAAAGGTTAGTGGAAATTAATTAAGGTCAAAAGTGCAAGCTATATGGTCATATAGACTAATTTTACCATGAATAATCGTTTAGATCTAATGAAAAAATGAGTCATTCTCATCACAGTTTCCATCGGAGAATAAGATAAATCACCTAGTACTTTATGAATGATTCAAATAACATTTATTGAAACCTTATTCGGTAGAAACATGATGTGGTTAAATATGAGTATTTTTAACATGAAATTGTATGGATCTAATAAAAAAAATGAAACCTCATTCTCATCACCGTCCCGTAAGAGGATGTAAATAACTCACTTAGTACTTTATAAATGATTCATTTCTGGATAATAACATTTATTAAATCTCTATCCGATAGAAGCATGAAGTTTTAAAATTTATTCTGAGGTGTAATTTTATTATGAATATGTAATGACCTTGTAGTGACCTCAAGTTATTTATGACTTTATAGGACTGACAGTTCAATCATTGGGTCGTTCATTTGAGTTTTATGCGAGTTTTTCTTGTTACAGAAGTTCTTAAGTGAAAGGGGTGACTTTAGTCAGCATTTGAAGTTCAGGTGTCGGATGTGATTTCCGTCGGTTCCATCAACTCCTAAGGCCCAATTTGGGCTAGTCGCAGGGTTGATTTGGGCCTTGAGGCTTCCGATGCGAGTTTATGTCATTAGGTGTTCAACTTTGATGTTTTGGCCGAAGTTTGACTTCGATCAACATTCATACTTTTGTCAGCATTCTTGTTAAATGTGCTCGGATAAGTTTTGCACAACATTCATTTTTTATGTTGTCCAAATTATATGAATTTAACTTGTTGGAACTTATTGACCTCTTGGAAATAAAACTTGGAGACTTTAAATTCTCCTTTAAATATTGATTTTTTCAAACTCTTTCATCACATAGAGTTAAATCCTTTTGTATTTTAGTAAGTTTTAGTCACATATTTCTGTTTCTCTATTTTCTAAATAAATTTTTTGATATGACGTGCTTCAAATATAGTTTTAGATAAATTGAGAGGTTCGTATATTAGGTTGCGTATTATTTAAACCCATATTATGATATTAATTCAAACATGTTGGAGACAATAGATAATCATAAATATAAATGTCTTCAATAAATATCATTGCAAAGTACAAGAATTAAATATCATAATTGAAACAAAATAATAAATAACAAAAAAATTAAAGCAAAGGACTTTGATAAATAATATTATCTGAAGATAATTCGTCTAGAAGACATTAGGTTAGATATTTGCATCATCTGATGGAATCTGTGAGGAGGATGAAGCTCCATTTTCTAGCTGCTCCAAATGTTCGTTCAAACTAAATTCACCGGAAATTAACCAAGCTTCAAACTTCATTGTATCATGTACACTGAATCGGTCTATGGACTCCCACCAACCTATATCTCTAGCCTCACTCATTCGATCTAATTTTTCATTTGCAATCTTTTCTCTTTCGTCCAATTCATTAAGAATATCATTAAATTGACTTACTTTTTTGCGTGCTTCTACCGCAACAAGTCGGTCACTTGCATTTAATTTTGTTGTAGGATTTATAAAACGATCAATGACCACATTAGAGGTTGGACTAATAAAGGAATAAGGTATACCTTTCGGTGAAAACATAATAATTCCAAGATCGACATCACATTCTCTAACAAGTTCACAAGCTTTTTTGTATAAGCCAGAACGTCGTTTAGAGAATGTGGTGAATCGAGCAGATTCATTCTCTATTTTCTCCAATGGATTTTTATGACGTCCTGATGTCTTCTTATGCTCCATGCTAGAATATAATGAAATATATTAGATAATTATTTCTTAAAAAATATGTGTACTAAGAAGAAGAAATATCATGCATATTTATATACATAAATTTCACAGTGGTCATTAAATTACTTGCCAATATCCCAATAAAAGTAATTTTTTCTTGATATTGAAAGTTATTAAGGAAAATTTATATTAATTTTGATATTCAAAATCTGATTTTATAATAACATAAATAAATCTAAAAGTTAATTTAAATAGGTAAGTTGGTGTTTAATATAGTACATGAAATTTATCAATTTGTAATTAACTATTGTGAATATATTTTACTATTACTAGAATCTTTTGGTTATTTTATAGTAACTAAATCAAATTATGCACTTGCTCAAATAAAAATAAATCCACTATTTAACTTGAAAAGAAAAAATATATTAATGTACTTACAATTTAAAAATAATAGATCTTTCACCTTGTAAATTGATGTTCATTTAAGAAGAATAAATCTAAATAAGTCAAACACTCAAACTAATAATAATGAGTGAATGTATAATGATATGCGTAATTCATGTATTATTTATTTTTTGCATAATAAGTATGTAATTTACGTGTATTAGCTAGCAAAAGTTAACAGTGAATCAGACCGGACATTTGTGAAAAGATAGATCCCTTTGTTTTATCAATTACAAACTTCTAAGGGATAGTTTGTTGTGAGGGATAACAACATATAGTCCCGGGATTAAAATATGATGCCACTTAGTTTGTTTTTTGGTTGGCCAATCCGAGATAACTTATCGCGTGATTAATAATTAATACCGAATTAAGTTATCTCTACCCATAGGTTGTATAGTAATCTCATCATATTTTTATCATGGGATAAACTCATTAAATAACAAAATTACCCTTCAATCTTTTATATTCTTTCCTGTATTTCACTTTCCTTTATCCATAATAATTTCATGATTACTTTTAAATCTCTTTTAAAATTGTTTTCGTTATTGTGTTGTTTTCTATTGAATCAAAAGGCTTTTAAAAGAATCTTCATTATGTTTAGTGCATTCAGTTGGGAGTAGACTTAGCACCGAGTTGGACTAGGGTTCATCGTACCCTCATAGTCTCAAAGTGCCCGCGTAGGATTATATGTCCCCTCTGTTGGGCATCAATTTTTAGTGATCACACCACAATCATGATTTTATACCCCTGACAAAGTATATTAGGTCCTCTCGATGAGGCGTATACATCGGACTCCACATTTAGCTCACATGGTTTATGTCGATTAATAGTAGCTCCCACAGTCAGACTCTTAGTGCATTTGACCAGGTTTTCCGCATTTATATCAGTATACAATTCAGCATGTTATCTTCATGATTAGTACTTGGTCATTGCATTCAGCTTAGCTTTTCAGTTATGTTTCAATATTTATATTCTTACTCAAATTATGTCATTGCTCAATTATGCTTTGTTCAGCTCATATATATTTGTTCAACTTAGTATCTATCTCATGCATGCTCATTTCATTTCAAGTACTAACGCATACTCTGCGCTACATCCTTTCATGATGTAGGCTCAGGTACTCAGCATCCAGATCACGCTTAGATCGATTCTCGATCCGCTTTCAGCAGCTTTAATAGTGAGTCCTCATATTTCGACGACAATAAACATGCTTTCATTTTAGTCATTATTTTTAGTTTTAGTTTTGTTAGAGTTAGTTGGGGGCATGTACCTTCAACTCAACTCAGTTATAGGCTTTTCAGACATAGTAGTAGATTCAGCTTGAGTTGTTTAAGTGGTTGTTTCAATTATCACTAAACTCTTAGTTTATTTCACTTATATTTAGACTATTTGGGTTTTTCACCATTTTAACATATCCACTGTTATAGCTTTCGCACAGTTCATATTTTACTTAGTTATTTTCCGTATTCTTATGATATGCCAGACTCAGGGTTAGTTTGGGATCACTCGTGATCCTAGGTCATATGTTACGTCAAAGGGGTAGCCTCGGGGCCTGACAACTAATGTTGTTGTGGTGTTTTGAGCAGGTTGTCCATGGAGAGTAATGCTCATGTTGAGGAAGGCAAGAAATAATTGGCTAAGAAAGTCCATAGACTTGCCCATTTGGGAGCTCGTCTGTTGGATTCCAGTGAAGGTGGAGTTGTGGTGATGAATGGGGCTGAATCATCACTAGTGTCAGAAGTGAAGGAGAAACAAGATAAAGACCTTATTATACTTGAACTAAAGGCAACTGTTTATAAGCAAAAGGTAATAGCTTTTGAAAAAAGGTGGAGATGGTGTATTGAGATACCAAGGTAGATTATGTGTATCAAAGGTGGATGAACTCCATGAGAGGATCATGGTAGAAACTCTTAGTTCCAGATATTCGATCCATCTTGGTTTCACAAAGATGTACCATGACTTGAGAGAAGTCTATTGGTGGATTAGTATGAAGAGATGCACTGCTAAGTTTGTTGTTAAGTGCCCAAACTGACAACAAGTCAAGGTAGAACACCAAGGGCCCGACGGTGCGGCTCAGAACATAGCTCTTCCGGAATGGAAGTGAGAGATAATTTGTAACATCCGGCAATGTGAAATAATTGAAGAGGCTTAGAATTGGAAATTTTCATTTTTGGAAAGAATTTTAAAGATCTGGAAAATTGGCTAAGTATGGGAAAAAGTGAGTCTTTGGCCAACTTTGAATAGTCATAACTCCTAGCTCAGGATTAGTTAGGTGCAGTTCCAGTTATGTTTGCGAAGCTCGTGGAATGATCTTTCCAGCGCCACCAAGTTTGCTCGATTCCAAGTTTGTATGAGTGAGTTATGCCCTTTGGAAGTTGGGAAGTTGGCAGGGAAGTGAAGTTCGTCCGGAAATTTTGAGGGTATTTTGGTCTTTTCCCTAATCATTTCTTTGGGTTATATTGAGGTGTTAGGCTGATTTTTTTAGATCAGTTTGTCCCATTTTAAAAGAGTGAGAGTTAGGGTTCTTGAGAGAGGAGGAGAAGAAGAGGAGAAAAGAGAAGAAGAAGCAAGGATTCGTCAAGATCGTCGTGGATTTCGTCGGGGGTGATCCCTATTAAGGTATGTGAGTTCATAGTGTTGGTTGGTTCTTTCCCCAACACGCCAAACTCATTTTTTATTATTGAGAAAAGATTGATTATGTTTGTTGAAGTTGTTGGTTGTATTTGTTGAAGTTGTTGGTTGTGATTGTGTTGAAGTTCTTGTTGATTTGGGACATGTTTCCAGTTGTGTTTGTGAGTTGAAATCTATTGTATGTTGAGGGGTTTATGATTCTAAGTGTTTGGGGCTGGATCCATTGAAGTTAAGGAGGTTTAGAGTTGGAAAAATGAAAGAGAAGAGTCGGATTTTTGGGGGGGAAAGGCTGGGGCGTCACGCTTGCCAGCGTGCCCCAACAGGGGTTCTGAGGTTTTACCCTTGGCGTGGCACATCTCTCAGAGCGCCAGCAGGCCCGTTCTGAACTTCAAGGGCTGGCACTCCGCGCCTCTCAGAGCGCCAAGGACACCAAGTCTTCCCATTTCTTCCCCACCTTTTCATACATGTTCCTAGGTATTGTACCTATGTTTCCTAGTTGTTTTCAACACTCCAATGTACGTCTAAACGTCAAGAACTCGTCCATAACATGTGATCAAACACCTTGAATTCATAATTCCAATTCAAGGAGAGTTAGTTTCCAAGCCAAGTGAAGTTAGAAGTCAAGTGAAGTTAGAGACAAGCTTAGAAGTTAAGAAGTAAGTCAAGCAAAAGTCTTTAAAGTTTTTCAAGAGTCTTCATTGAACGTTTTAACTTCTTTTTAAGGCTCAAGTTTCAAGTTAAGTATAGAGTTTCAAGTTAAGTAAAGAGTCAAGAGTTTCAAGTTAAGCCAAGAGCAAGAGTCAAGTGCATTTCTCAAAGTTATTAGGGAACTAAGTATTCCCAAAGAAGTTTATAAATGTTTTCACATTTAAGATGAGAGAAAACTGAGATTTCCAAAAGAGTTTTGAATAGTTTGAGCACTATCTCTTTTAAAGAAACGATGAGTTTTGCGAAAGAGCTTCTAAAACATGATTAGTATGACAAATCGAGTATGTCATCAATGTTTAAATAGTATGGTCTCTAGATATACCATCAATGTTAAAGCAGTATGAATATCCCGAGTCATCAATGATCATATTAAATTATGGTTTTGAGATGTTCTTTTACAAAGAGTTTTCAAGAGCCTTTGGGCTAAGTTTTGAGTAATTATCTCAACTAAAGAAATATGTGTTTAAAACACTTATGAGCTAAAGTATTTTTGGGAGTAGTCTTGAGCACCGAATTGGGGACACGAGTTCATATTAACTCAACTCTCCATAAGAACCATGTAGCCAAACATGGAATTTCACGGGTCATACTTTTTAGATGATCCCGTAAGTTAAGCTAGTGGATTCACTTAGTAAAGTTAGCTTCCTATATCACAGCAAGGTATAGGATGGTCCTTGGGCAACGTGAGGTAAAACATTGTATCACTACTTAAGCATGTAGTGGTGGTTATAGGTTAGAGAACTCCCACAGTAGAAAGAGCTTGGTTCCTCGAGAAGTTCTGCTTAGTATGGATGGGGGTATGGGACTTCATTCATGCATTGCACAAGTAGACTTTGAGAGGAAGCATGGTATTTTCATGATATTGTAAATATGATTTTTACGTCATGTTTTAAATAGTTTTGCAAGTTTTATATATTGCATGTGTCTCATTACTTTATATTGAGTTCAGTTATTCATGAGTTGAACAGAGCCAAGGGAAGTTCTCTTTTGTATCCCTTTCAAGCTTAAGTTGTTGTTTAGCGGTCCAGCTCGCATACTCGTACATTCCATGTACTGATGTCAGTTGGTCTACATCTTGTTATGATGCAAACGCAGGAACCCAGGATCAGCATCCGGCACGTCGTTGATCCAGCTGAGCACTCCAGAGTCAGTGGTGAGCCTCCTTGCATTCCGGAGGACTCAATTATTTTGTGTTCTTAGTTTTTATTTTATTAGGATGTTGCGGGGTC